GAGTGGAAACATGTAGGGAAATATCAACAGGTGGTCAGCTGGGCTCAGGAATTAGAATTGACAGAATGTGGGGTGGAGAGGTGTAGCAAGATGTCATATGCAAAGAGTATTCATTTATTTTAGTTTGTTGCCTTCGACTTTAACACCTGATGAACGTATTGTGATTGCAAGAGGCTCTAGCACAAGAATAGAAAGTATAGGGGGAAGAGGACAGCCCTGCCTAGTTCCCGGTGGATTAAGAAGGTATCCAAGAGAAATCTGCAGTAGTGGGCCTTTGCCATTGGACAAACATATAGGACCTAGATCCAACTATGGGGTGTAAAAAGCAAATATGTCCATGATGGAATGACAACTGCTTTCCTTATGTCTAACAATAAGAGCATAGTGTTAAGAGAACATGTATGGGCAGTATGAATGAGTTGAAGGACACAACTGTCTGCAGCTTTAACCACTAATGAGCCATACAGAGTCTTATCTATCATTTAACAGGAATCTGTTTTATCTTTATAAGTCTTTTAGCTTTTCTGACAATTAGTAAATATTATACTGTTTTATAATGATGAAAATTAAATTATATGAGGAGAATGTATCAAAAGCTGGAGCAGTTGTGCAAGGCAACCAATCAGGTTCTAGCTTTCATTTTCAAATCTTGACTGAACAAACTGAAGAGAGAAGCTGATTGGTTGCCCTGGGAAACTGCTCCAAATTTCAGATATGTGTGTACCATCTCAATAGGCCCATGCTTCATTGTGATTTGACACACAATTACTGAGAGGCCCTTTTGAAAATGAAAGTTTCAAACCTTGCAAACCACCAACACTGGCAGTCCAACCATTTATTCTAAGCTACAAGACAGACTATTGCTAGATCCTGATGACAGCCCACTCTGGATCCTGGTGGTTTCCAACAATTTTCATAATCGAATAGTTGGTCAGTCGATTAAATGGGCTGCTCCTCACACCTTCCCCAACTCACTCGCAAGAATGTAATTAACAGGCCGGGCCGCTCCAGGAAAAAGTGTTGGGGTCTCGGCAAACACCATGCTGAGCATGGACTGACAGTTTGGGCTCTACCCGAGGATCCACGGTCTGCTCATGCCTCAGCTTCCTCCGCCTTCTGGGCTGCTCATAGTGGACTGTGGATGGGCTGAATAGGGCCATCTGAGGGAAAATATTGAGAAGTCCCAGCGAACGCGTACTGAGTGTGGACTGACCATTCGGCACTGTCTGAGGACCCGCAGCCTCCCCCATATCTCAGCCGCCTCCTCCCTGGGCTGCTCATAGTGGACTGTGGATGGGCTGCATAGCAAGGTACAGCTGGTGTAAGTATTGTGTGCATTGTGCGTGTATTATGTGTTTTATGTGTGCTGCGTGTGTATTATGTGTTGTATGTGCATTATGTGTTGTATGTGTGCTGTGTGTTGCATGTGTGTATAATATGTACTGTGTGTGTATTATGTGTTGCATGTGTGTTTTATGGGTGCAGTGTGTGTATTATGTGTTGCATGTGTACTGTGTGTATTATATGTGCTGTGTGTACTGGGTGTTTACTATGCATTGTACGTGTGCTGTGTGTGCATTATGTGTTGTATCTGTGCTGAGTGTACAGTGAGTGGAGTCAGTGTCATAACAACTGGGGGGGGCGAGAGAGACAGTGTGGATGCGCTTGGGCACAAAGATGGGGAGGGGGGACACACCGGCTGGGCAGCAAACACAATTAAGCCCGTGAAGCCCGTGGCAAACTGCACACAGAGCCGCATGCAGCAAAGGGAAGCAGCGGTGCGTCTAGCAACATCCTCTCCCGCGCTCAGCTTTGCAAAAGTTGTGTGGTGAGACGAAAAATGCATTGTCTAGCCAATCAGCTCACACATATGAATCCACGTTTCAGGGCACAGATGCAAGCGTGCCACCAATCTGATTACCCCAGACAAAAGCATCTGGTGAGAGGAGTCCTTCTCATATGTGACATATGCCAGGGAAGACAACTATTGTATGAATAAAGACGGAATATAATATGTGAATTGAATCATTAAACATTTAAATTATTAAATAATTAATCAATATTTAATAATTACATAATAGTTCTTAAATAACTATTTTGTAATTAGCAATTAATTAAACATATTAAATAATGAATTAAAATGTTTTCCAATTAAAAGAAAAATAAATCACCTGACTAATGGATTATGAAAATAATTGTTAGTTGCAGCCTTACCCTCCTGTTTCCTGCCTCTCCCTTTCTTCTTGTTTTTCTTAAATGTTGGTTTATTTATTTTTTTCCTGTCCTACCATCTCCTGGCACACTGCCTACACAACACTAGCCACCCCAAGGGTTACTAGGAGGATGTGTGGTGCTGAGTATTTTTTTGCCCACTAACCTTGCTTTTAATTAACTAGTGTAACATAAGGCATGTGACCATGGCTAGTGTGTAGTGATTTTGAGACTGGTGGTGTCATGCACAGTCATTGTATTCTATCCACCCTGCTGAAATGTATAAACAGATTGTTAATACCATATATTTTACTGTGCAGATATTCTTTTATGACTTTATAATGGTATTCTCTTGTATCTTTTGTTGTCATATGTGCAAAACATTAAAACATTTTTTGTTAAAAAAAACTGACTTCAGATCATACAAAATGCACTTTTTACACTATGCCCAGTTTCAGTCTTTAGTCTTCTGGTGTTCATTTTAGCCACTTGAATCAGGCTTTGGATAGGAAATGGCCATGAAAATATACAATATAGATATCAGGCTGCACCTGCCTTTCAAACATCTGATCTAGAAGGCTATCCTTACCATGTCAAGTCCTGCTCTGTTTGTTACATTGGAGTAGGTCAATGCACTAAGGTGTACGTTTAATAAACGGTGAAAGAGTGTGATAAGCAGTGAGAAGGCTTTTCTCACCTTAGCAAAGTGAAAAGTCTAGAAAACGCTGTTTAATAACCCGTGATAAGTCAGGTAGGAACTGAAATATCTCACCTCTTCTCATCCTGGTGATACGTACACAGAAAGTAATGGGAATGTACCTGTTTAAGAAAGGGAGAAAAGTAGAGAACAGCTTTATCACTGGATAAGTATTGTGCAAAGTACCCTTGATTTAGCACCCTGTCAGACCTGGTGATAAAGGCCTTTTTCTCGAGAAGCACTGAGCAAAGATACAAGAACCTCCTCCTCTGTCACTCAGTTCTTCTCTGTTTCCAGTCCTGAGGAGAAGTTTGAGTGGTATGTTCTATTCAAAGCCTAGTGCTATTCTATCTAGCTGTTTTGTGACTTTTTAAAGAAATAAATACATATACTATAATATATATATATATATATACCCCCCTCCGTTGCCGCCGCTGTTGGCGATCCCGAGCTCCGCTGTGCCCGGACAAACTACAGTGTAGACAAGCTGTGGTGCGGTGCGAAGTGGAAGGTTCCTTTTTTTTTTGCTTCGCCTGCAGTGTGTCACAGCCTTGAGAGGAAAAGGAGGGAAGTCTGTCTTAATGCCACCCTTCCCTCATGAGAGTGACAGTGGCAGTTTCAAGTCCCCTCACTGTATCTGTGTAGTGTGAGGTAAAGTTCAGTAAGGTCATGTGACCTTAGGGGCTTGTTGTTGACGGCTTAGTCTCCCTCAGAAACAGGCCCACCAAATTAAGCTTGAAGGATGTCTGGGGAGCATGTTTTAGAGGCAGATGCAGTTAACATTGCACTCCACACAACAGTCTGTAAGACCATTTCGCCACCATGGTCCGCCGTTTATGATGCATTAATACCTGCTGCTAGTGTGTTTGCACACACACAGTGCTGATGCACCTATCTCGGGACAACAGGCTTTTTTCAGGGACACCAAACATTCTAATTTCCAGAATGTGTCAGAGTGCCCACTTACATTGCTTGGCTCCATCAGAGTGGCCCTTTATAATGTTTAACCCCATCACTGCCTCGCATTGTGGCCGCCTCTGGTAGTTTGATTCATGTTTTTGTACTAGTACATGCTGAACAAATCGGAACATGTAAATCCTGCTTTTTAGCAATTTTCATCATTTTAACAGAGAAATAACTGGTGCACTTTGCTATAGAGGTGCTTTTTAATATTGTTATTGGGTGGTTTGGCAGAGTAAACTATGATCCTGTCAGGAGGATTGTAGATTATCACAAAGGATGTCATTGTGCAGCTCAGAATACATTCCCCACATTGCTTTCTCTACTGATCACCTTGACGACTTATCTCAGCCTTTCACAGCTGTTTCGTGTGATACGTTTTCTTTTCGCAGGTTATTAAACAGCCTCTGTGCAGCCGAGAAAAACAAAGAGATCTGCTGAGTAAAGTTAACTTGTGATAAAGCTAGTTTTATCACGATTTATTAAACGTACACCTAAATGTATTACATATTTTAGGTCACCATCAAAGCACTTTTTTTGTGTGAAATCTTAAATGTAGCACATACATTTACAAAAGAAATCCCCAAAATGTTGTTTTAATTTATGGACGAAAATGGCAATTGTATCTGCCTTCTAGTTGGGCACTTTTGCAACAGTGCAAATATATGTGCACATTCAATACATGTCTGAAGGGGAGAAAAACTCACTGCATGTGGATGTGCATGTGGGGGGAAAAATAACCTAAGAAAACAGCTATTTACACTACAGGAAATTCATCTTACAAAAGAACCTTTACACAATTCACGTCTGTTCTGTCAGAACTATCAGCCTCAGCTTTTGAAGAAACCTTTTACTCACAGCAAGCAGTCTTTTTTGGTGCTAAACTGTTTATAGCCTTGGAAGCATGAAAGCTGAAAAAACACACAGAGGTTACTGGAACACATTTAAAATGTTAAGTAAATCTTCAGCTTATTCAGCCAGCCCTACATAAGGCATGTAGCTGTCAAAAGGATATGGACATCTTTGTCACAAACTTGTCATGTACATCATCAGACGGGGGAAAGGTCTCCAAATCCTTCTCAAGCTGTTGAAGCTGTCGCTCCATGTGCTTCATTGTCTTCTCTAGATTCTCGGCAGACACTAAATAAATCAATACAAATGTTTTAAAAGCAATTCCAATACCTACATTACTGAAAATGACATACCATACAAGTCTTTCTTTGTTATACCTACTTGGGGAAAGCACAATGCTGGCACTCCCAGGGTCAAGTGACACAGTGATAAAATATAGCAATATTAATAGTTTTCAACCTATTTATGACAAAATCATTAATTTGTTAATGACAACTCCAGCTATGCGCTGCAGTTAGATGCACAACTAGATAATTTGAGGTACATGCTTACCTCACATCCTCGACTGCAGGAAAGCCCCCAGTCAAGCATGGATCTGTCTTTTGAGGGTATACATGTAAAATCTTTGTATACAATAGAAGATAATTTCTAATTTTCTATTAATTAGGTTTCTCTAATTGCTTCTGTGATTACCTCTCTTACCTTAGCCCAGTGAGTACAATATAAAGGTGGCCATACACTCTACAACCATCGCAAGACCTTAGTCTTGCGATGGTTGTACAGGGATTAAAAAAACGTATGATCTGCCTATCTTGGAGAGGCAGATCGCACTCTCGATCATCGCAAGCCCGCCCCCCTGAGGGGCGGGCTTCCGATGACCGCAATGCTGAACGGGCGGTGTGCGCACTTCCTGGTATAACCGCAACAGCACCTGCCGGACACTCCTGTCACAAAGCCAGCTGCTATTGCGGTTATACCAGGAAATGAATAACCTCAGGACGGTTTTCAGTGGAGTTATTGCAGTCATAGAGGACTGCCCAAAGCGCTGTACATTGTGCCTTTGTAAGTACATTGAGTACTTTTTATTGACATTTGAATAAATGGTATTATACTTAGAGGTGGCACTCTGGTGTTTGTATTTTTGTTTGCATGTGTGACGGGAACTCCCTGATCCAGTAAGGAACAGCCCCTAATGGTTACCATCTGACATATTTGGAGGATCGCAAAGGCTCCACTAGCGCCAAGAACAAGTATTATTTATTTAACCAGTAAATCTGTTACTTGGGGTACAGTACAGGGCAGATTTAGAGATGACTGCATAATATGCAGGTATAATAAGGTGATTGGACACTGGCTGGAGCTTTGAGAACTCTCATATAACAGCTTTTTAAAGCAAACAAGAGAAGGGGCTGTTCTTGGTATAGCCACTGGGGTGGTTATACCAAGAACGCAGTTGCTGCAGCCGTTTTCTTGATATCAGTGTAAACAGCAAGCGATTGCTATTCAGGTACAAGCAATTCAACGACTATACGGCTGCCGGATCGCTTCTAATTCTAGGGCCATAAATCACTGTTAACACTAAACTGATGAGCAGTAAAAGCTTTTAAAGTGTCCACTATGGGACATTTGGTGTATTGTAGTTTTTTTGCGGCTTCACGGGCTAACACAATTTTTAGGCTTGACATGTTTGGTATCTATTGACCCGACATGACCCCACCTTTTATATTTTACCCAAAAAATATTAGGCTATTAAGACTTTTAGTATTATTGGGGAGAAGTTTAACACTCATACTGAAAGTAGTAGGAAATGCAAACACATTTAACGTATCTTGATAAAAATAGTAGTGTCCATAACATTTGCAGCCAGCTTTAGAAATGTGAGGTGATCGTGTAGATGTCGAGCCAGAGTAATAAGAAGCCGTTGACAAAAGATAAAGTGCCATCCGGTAAAAAAGGATATAAAGTGTATCAACAAAAAGAGAGAAACTGAACAAAAACAAAACTTGATAAAAAGGAGAGGACATCCCTCCAGGGGTCTCCAAACATTGAAGGAATATTGCACCCTGAAGGAGGGGTTGGAGGGAATATTCTAACTTAACACAAAACCAGCCAGGAAAACTTGAATGGCATGAACTGAATTTAGTAGTACTAGAACCACAGCAGTTTAAGAATATAAGAACTTTGATTTAGGGTGAATAAAGAAATTGAAAGTCATTTAAAGTCAATCCAGAGAAGATTCAGGCAGAGGGAGGAGACTCCATTGTCAAAGAAGTTGGTGAGCATAATCAATCAATGAAATGGCATGGGGGTTCTCACTCCCGGTGATCACAAGTTTGGTGGGAAAGCCCCATTTGTATGCCACTTTGTAATTTCTTAGAACTTTAGTGATAGAACAGAGTTCCAGTTTTGAGCCATCACAGTAGCTTGGGACAGGTCACTGTATAATGTGATATTAGAGTAAGGTTGTGGTAATGAAGAAATGTTGTGACTAAGCGTCATCAGCTTTTCTTTGATATGGAAGTAATGGATGCGCTCAACAACATTTCTAGGAAGTCTTTGAGGCAGATGTGAGGGCCCATTTGGTTTTCCATGGTATTGATCCTGTCCTGAGGTGTAAATCTTTCTTAAAATTTCATATCAGGAAGGTCATATTTTCTGAAGTGTGTTACGTAGGGAAATTGACATTTCCAATAGGGTGTTATCCATATAGGTTTCTCTGATTTTGAAAAGTCACCTATGGGATATGTCACATCCTCAGAATCGTCCACAGGGGAGTCTCCTCTTACCTCCTTTTCCCGTGCAAGAAGATCAGATATTTTGGATTTAGGCTTCAAAGGAGTCCAGAATGTGTGCTTTTTGGAAAGCAGCATAAACTGATTCCAGAACAATTGGGTCAGCATTTGAAACTTTTACTACAGTGATACAAATAAAGGTTTATAGGTAAGCACAGTTGCTGAATGCTTCTTTTATCTATGATTATCTGGCTACCCATTTATCTGCCTAACCTTCAATATCAATGCAGTCAGTTACTTATTTCTTATTCTTTATGGCAGTATCTTGTCCTTGTGATAAGTTGATTATACAAGAACACTATAAAAATCATCATTTATATAATACACTGTTCCTTACTAGATAACAATTCTACGCATACTATATACTTGGATTTCTAGGGGAAAATTTATGTGATTTTTGTGTCAAGCCGAGTATAAACCCTTTCATTGCAGGCCTTGCAGACTCTGGTCTAGGCATTTGAAATGTTTCTTAGTGTGAGTATTTGCTTCCTGGGATGCTATAGTTCAAAGCTCAGAAGACAATTTATTGTTTGTCAGGTTAATGATGGTATCTGCAGAGGAAAAAGTCCACAGGCTTAGTAGTGAGTGCATCTGAATTATCCTCTCACATTAAGACCAGGACTCTTGACAGAATGGTTAAGGCACCATACAGTCTTGCTGTGGTTTATCTGTAATTCAGGTCTGTATAAATAGAAATTTACAGCACAGCTGCGGGGAAAAAAAAAAAGGAAGCTTTGAAAAAAAAAATAGTGTCATACATTCTGCACTCAAATCACTATATATATATATCAGCCTGATACTACAGTTGTTTAATGTTCTCATTAGTCTACACTTAGTACCCCATAATGACAAGGTGAAAACAGAATTTTAGAAATGTTTACAGATGTATGAAAAAGGAAAAACTGAAATATCACAAGTATTCAGACCCTTTGGAACAGCACTTGAAATGGAGCTCAAGTGCCTCCCACTTCTGTTGATCATTGCTGAGATGTTTCTACACCTTGATTGGAGTCTATCTGTGGTAAATTAAATTGATTGTAGATGATTTGGAAAGGCACACACCTCTCTATAAAAGACATAACAGCTGACAATGCATGCTGTATCAGAGCAAAAGCCAAGAGGTCAAAGGAACTGCCTGCAGAGCACAAAGACATGATTATTGCAAGGCACAGATCTGGGGAAAGCTACAAAAATGATTTTGCTGCACTGAAGATTCCCAAGAGCACAGTGGCCTCCACAATTTTCAAATGGAAGATGTTTGGCACAACCCAGACTTCTCCACATACTGGTCACCCGGCCAGACTAAGGAATTGGGGGATAAGGGTCTTAGTAAGAGAGGTGACCAAGAACCTGATGGTCACTCTGACTGAGCTCCAGAGATTCTGTGTGGTGATGGGACAAAGTTCCAGAAAGACAACCACTACTGCAGCCCTCCACCAATTTGGCTTTTATGGCAGAGTGGCTAGACAAAAGCCTCTCCTCTGTGCAACACATGAAAGCCCGCTTAGTGTTTGCAAAAAAAGGAAAACTATTTTTTTTTTTTGCAAATAAAACTTGTATCATAAGTGGTAACCAACATGGTTTCATGAAGGACCGTTCTTGCCAGACCAATCTATTAACATTTGCTAAATTAGACAAAGGAATACCAGTAGTGGTGTGTCTGGACATTGCTAAAATATTCAACACAGTACCCCACAAACGTTCAACCCATAAACTAAGGTTCATAGGTCTAGATGAAATTGTATGCACATGGGTGGAAAATTGGCTGCAAGAACAGACCCAGAGAGTAGTGATAATGGGTATTCCTAAGCAAAATTGAGGCATGGGCTACAAGATCAAGATGGGAAATGTGATTTAATGTTGAAAAATGTAAGGTTATGCACATGGGAGTAAAGGACATGTGTACAAACTACTACTGGGTGGGGGGCTACATTAGGGAAGTCAGACATAGAAAAATACCTGAGGGTCCTCATAGATCACATATTTGTCAATAGTAAACATTGCCAAGCAGCAGCCAGTAAAGTTAACAATATACTGGCATTTATTAAAAGAGGAAATGTAGCAAGGGATCAAAGAGTAATACTTTCACTTTATAAATCATTGGTCCGGCCCCATCGAGTATACAGTACAGTTCTGGTCGCAGACTCTCAGGAGGGACGTCCTGGAACTGGAGAAAATTCAGAGAAGGGCTACAAAATTAATTAAAGGGATTGAAGGCCTGAGTTATGAAGACCCCATTCAAAATCTAAATGTATTCACCTTAGAAAAGAGGCAATTAATAGGGGACTTTATTGCAGTCCTCAAAATCATCAATGAGGACCCCAATATTAGGAACAAACTGTTTAATCCCAGAACTGTATTGAGAACTCGGGGACACAACAAGAGGTTAGAAGAGAGGGGATTCAATCTTAGAATTCAGAAGGGGTATTTCACTGTGAGAGTGGTAGAAGTTTGGAACTCACTTCCACAGGTGGTGGTATCTGCAGATGACATTGA